GCACTTTGGTGTGGTTGGTGAGTGTGTATGTGTGTGTGTGTGTGTGTGTGTGTGTGTGTGTGTGTGTGTGTGTGTGTGTGTGTGTGTGTGTGTGTGTGTGTCAAGGTATGCTTCAGACTAGAGTAGAAGAACTGAGAATGCGCTCTCAGTTGCGCTACTGAAACTGTAGAATGTGAGAATGATGTTGTGTCCTGTTTGATTAAACTGGGGTCGAAATGAAGGAGTGAGTGTCGAAATGTAGGAACATAATAATGTGTCGCAAATGCCACAAAATGGATCGGTTTTCATGTTATAGGGTTCCATGGGAGACATACTTCTTGAGGTACACTGTGTTTTTCTCCGGAAGCCTTAATGGAGCTGGAGTTTACTGTCCCTGGCTGACATATGTATCTATGTATGTGGGTGTATGACACAAATGACACCAACCCATTTTTCACATTGATGGCAAGGAAGTAATACACCCACCAGTCAGTCAGTCATGCGTGCAGCTTGAGTGTTGTTGTGTAGAGCACCGTGACTATTGGCGAGCTGTCAGTGGCTCCAACACACATCTTGACGTGGTGTAGCCCCGCAGCTTGTCAAGAGCAAGAAGGGGAAAGAACAATGTGTGTGCATGCCTGTGTGTGCAAGTGTGAGAACAGTGTGGGTAGATCAATAATAATCAGTTGATGTAGAACTGGAAGGTAATTCAACAGGAACTGGTGTGCACTAGCATCCTCAAATGTACACGCACAGAAGGCTGAAAAACAAGTTAGATGACAGGTCCAAAGAAAAGACCAAGCAATTGCTCTATCCAATCACATTGCACAAAGCAACCTTTAAAAAAGCACTCATAAAAGGACCAACCCAAAAATGCATATATCAAATACAATCAATTTTGGAAATCATTAGTGGAATTGCCCCTAAATACAACCCCTCACGACCTCCCCACTCTCTTTCCTACTCACTTATTTTTTACCTTTTCGATGTTGTCTTGATGATGTCGGACACTTTTTGAATGTAATCTGTGGCAAGCACCACAATCTCCTTGTCTTCAGAGAAGTTGTCATGGAAGATTTTATCCAGCAAGCGTTTCCAGTGAAGCTGTGGTCAGAAAATGAGTATGAAATGTTATTTCTTTCATAATGCATGATGCTTGAATTATTTGATTAACTTTGATGAATCCAAAATGTGAATCCCTATTTTACTTGGTGCTTCAAGCTTTATATCTGAATTGACTCATGTTATTTACCAGAGGTGGGCATTCCGTCAGTAATGACGGAAGGCCAGGTCACTCCCGGTTTGCTGGTGAATGACGAATGACAGGAAACTTTGAAAAACTGACAGATTAAGTGGCGAATGAAGTGGGTTTCGGTTCGTCACCAGAATCGTCAGGACCGACTGACCTTCTCAGTCCATCATTGACAGACTCCCGTTTTGCTGACGGAAACACGCGCCGTGTTTCTTGTGCGTTTGTACATGGGGGTGAATACCCACAGGGGTTTCTTCAAGCGGACTGCATTAACTATACATGGAAACGCGTCGCCAGAAACACTCAGCTTTGATCGACAGTAGATAGTCAACATTTTTCCCAAGTTTTTAGCTTTTTTTCCAAGATGGCAGTCATCTTCAAAAACTTCAATGTTGGTGCTTTATAACTGTCGCCGCTCAACGGCTGTGGGGCGAGGTGTGTTTTTTGTGCCTGTAATGGGCAGCATTTTTCACAGCCCTGTTTTGTTCAGCGATGATGTCGCCGCTGTGGGACAGTCTGTGTTGGTGTGGCTGGATAGATGGCTGGTGGAGGTGAGAATGAGGAGACAGGAGTGTCGGCGCGCAGTGCGTGATGTGTATTTGGAGCTGAGAGGAGGCGCTTGGAATTGAAGCGGATCTAAATGGGCCAGGAGAATTGAACAATTCTCTCTATTTGCCAATGGACACAACAGCTACTCGTTCACTTTCAAACTTAGCTTGTAGCCGACGCGTGTGGCGTCATGCACGCTGTGACCATGACGTCTCTGATACACTGGTGAAAGGAGACTGAATCTCTCCTCTTTCATCGAGAACTGCTTCCAACAACAAAGTGCATGCAGGAATAGTTGATCGGATTGTATAATTGTCACTGCTTTGTGTTATGTGTGCTATTGTGTAATTGTTATTTCGTATGATCTGGAAAGCACTTTGTTACGGCTGCAGAGGTTGTGAAAGTGCGATATGAGTAAACATGTATTGTCTTGTAACTCGGCCAACCAACTCTCTTTGCGGTTCCTGTACAGTAGGTGGCGGTAAGAAGCAAAAAGCACTAATCGGCCATTAAACGAAGAGGAGGGGAAGAAGAAGAAAGAGAAGAAGGACAAACCTGAAAGAGAAAGAGAGAGCTTGCGATCGCTCTAACCACATCAAAAAAGATTGTGGATAGATTTTGCAGAGACAGGAGTATGGTTAAAATAACGATGAAGGACGGGTGAAATTTCATGACGGTTCTAAAATACTGTTGACGGACTGTAATTTAGAGAAGCGAGATTGACGGATCGACGATGATAGTTTTGGTTTGGATTGAAATATTGACGGACTGACAATAACTGGAAAATGATGGAGCGGCAAAATTTACTGATGGGCCCATTTCTTATGTTATTTACAACAGTATATCACGTTACAATTATGTCTTCCAACAGCCAATTTCCATTCTCAACTGTGTGTTTTTTTCTTTCTGCTTATCACAGCGTTGTTTTCACTGTGTTGTTTGTGTGTCTCGGTTTCCCTCATCATCAGAAACACAGCCAATTCTCGGGAGTAAACATCCATGGTGCTCAGTCCACAATCAGAAGATTGAACACACCAGCCCACGCAGTTAGTGCGTTAAGAAAGCAACACTTTAATCATGAAATACATTTGACAAAATCATTTCGAAACCATACGAGAAAGGGAGTGAAGTATGTTTGCAAATGTATTCAAACTTTTTCACCTCTCCAAATCTGTTCTTTTTTTCTTTTTCTTTTTTTAGCAACTACAATGTCATGTTTTAAACCTAGCCAGTAAGTCAGACGTTCTATTATACTGTCGAATAATGCAGTACTTAAGAATGCATAATCACAGACTTCATTATAATACGTCTGTTCTAGGCTGAATCATTACCTTAATGAAACCCAAGGCATAGATTCATAAGTCAATATTCACAGTCGATATTGCATACTGTTATACAATACTGATTCTGCTGACTCTCTTTATGAGATTTCTTACCATGGCTGCATTTAGAAAGCGAACCCATGCTACCTGCGCTCGAGTCAGGCCAACGTAGCACTCCAACATCAGAAGCCACTAACGTCATTTAATTTGGGCAAGGCGATGGTTAGAACTCTTTAGAATTTGAACTAATTAGAATTATGGAGCCTGGACTGTAGAATATATAATTTCAATCACAATGATCAATTTTAAAAAATCTTCAAGAAGTCCACAAAATGTGACAGTTTCCCATTAATAATAGTAGATAAATTAAAAACATTTATTTTTTTGGACAAGATCTAATTAAATTAACGAGACCGTGATTGCTTGTTTGACAAATGATGCCTTGGGGTGCAAAGAGTTTAAAGCAAAGACCAAACAAAAAAAGATCAAGAGCGGTTCAGAGCAGCTGCCTTCCACAAATTCATTTTGAGGAATCAGTGAGTAAAGCCTCTTAATTACGCATCATGTAAACAAAATTTGCATCCTAAATTAATCAGCATCCTCCAGATCCAATTGTCAGACTAATTCTTATGCTTCTGTATCTGTTCACATTTCAATCTGCATCTTTGGCCCCATTTTCAGGGTTGCAAATTCACTCTCAGAGTATGTTATGTTTCGTACACACGATATATTTAATCTCTTTTTTTTTTTGGCTGAGAATTTGAAATCAGGCATTTTATCTTTCGTTTCCCCCGCATGTGTCTGTCCCTTCTAACCACAGAACATCTTGAGGATCTTCTGTCAGCATGCGCACTGCTTCAGGGTAGTGCCTCCTCCTTCTTCTCCTCGCTCGAAATCCAATTTACCTTTCCTCCTCCTCCTCCTGCCATCATGTCTAACACCCTCCAATGTCCGCTTATATTCTTTCCTCCTTCTTGCATTCAAGGCTCAATCTTAAGTCCTGCAGGGCGGACACTTTTGTGATTCACTTGGGCTGTGTGTGTGTGTGTGTGTGTGTGTGTGTGTGTGTGTGTGTGTGTGTGTGTGTGTGTGTGTGTGTGTGTGTGTGTGTGTGTGTGTGTGTGTGTGCGCATATGTGCACCCATGTGCGTGTGTATACAGTACTCACACCAGGAGCAGTGCGCTGCAGCTGCCTGAGTGTAATGCGGTTATACATCGTGCTGACGTCCTTTCTTTGGTCATCATATTCTGACATGGTGATCTGGAGAGAGATTTTACTGAACACTGCACACACACACAATCATGTGCTTCCACATAAACTGCTGCGTGTGCGTGCGTGCGCACACACACACACACACACACACACACACACACACACACACACACACACACGCACAAAGAATCAGCTCACATTGGCTAGACGAGTCTCCAGCTGTATAATCTCCTTGGACTTTTGTGTAGCGTTGTGAGCTCCCAGCATGCTTAGTAAGCGCTCCATCAGGGCCTTGTATGCCGCCAAGATCTGAAAGGCACAATGACTTCAGCACTGATCGAGGGGAGGAGTATCATCAATAACAGCTGGTGACGGCTTGACATGTGGCGAGGTGCAAAAGATGACAAAAGCACAGTGGGACACAGGGAAAAAAAGCAGGTGGTTTAATGCAGATGAGTGAGGCAAGTGAATAGAACAGATGGGAAAAGTGAGGGAAGAAAGGAAGAAAAGACAAACGGGTGAAAGGTGAAGAAAGGCATCATTTTGCAAAGGGGCTCGAAAATAGGATGCAGTCCAATGGGAACTAAGAGTAGAAGGGGAAGGGAAAGTGCCGTAGGCAAAGGGTGGAGCAAAATGAATGACAGAGGGTCCCAATCAACAAAAGCAGCGCTTTCTACCTTGACACTGTCCTCATCTTGACCCAAGTAAAGGCTTCTCTCAGGCAGCGTGAGTCCCTCCTGATCAATCTACACAGTCGTCAGACACACAATACAATGTCACAGTCACAAAAGTGCCAATATTTACAAGCTAATATATCGTCTTCCAATCGATTCAATTATCATCCCATTGAGTGGATTGGCTGGGTCTCGGGATTTTATATATACCTGTTTGTATGTATTTGTGTGTGTGTGCGTGTGTGTGTGTGTGTGTACACACACACACACACACGCACACACACGCACACACACGCACACACACGCACACACACGCACACACACGCACACACACGCACACACACGCACACACACGCACACACACGCACACACACGCACACACACGCACACACACACACACACACACACACGCATACATAAGGTGTCGTTAGAATTCAAATTTAACAATGTCACGAAATGATTAAAATCTTTCAATATGTTCTAATAATTATCTTTGTCTGAAGTTTGGGTTTGAAACTTGCAGCAGCCACGAATTTCAATTAAATGTGTTTGCCCGCCCATTTTTCCTTCTCTTCTTTCACCAGGAAAAAAGTATTTGTCACAGTCACACTATTTGATCCTGGATATGTGCTGCGTGTTAAACGGAGAAACAGTTCTGTTTGATAAGGTCGAACTCCATTGTTTAAACCAGCGGTTCTTAATCTGGGTTCGATCGAACCCTAGGGGGTCGGTGAATCCGTCTCAGGGGTTTGACAGAACCTCTGCCTCTGCCTCTGCCATGGAGGATAAAACACACCTGACTCAACATGTCAATTAGGTATGATATCACTGGCTGGTTCATTTTGTGCACAATTAAAAAAATATATACTTTATACTTAAGTGTACTAATTCTGTTTACTTTTTTTTCTGTCTTTAATAAATGCGGTTTTATATGTCTTGAATTTGTAAAAAAAATCTTTTATTTTTCAGAAATGAAGGGTTCGGTGAATGTGCATATGAACTGGTTGGGTTCGGTCCCTCTAAAAAGGTTAAGAACTACTATCAACATATACAGGGCAAATTATTGGAGCAAATTCATTGACAAATGCGTATTTCAACTCACAGGTATGTAAAAAGAATCCCGATGTGTAACCGCAGTCACAAATGTGTAATGCGAATCCACAAATGTGCGACTGAGGTCACAAATGTATAACTAGAATTGACAAATACGTGACTGCAGTCACGTCTATGGAACAGCCATCCATCCATCCATTTTCTAATCCGCTTATTATAACAATTAGCTGGCAACCAGTGTTCTCCGCCGACTGCCCGAAGACAACTGGGATAGGCTCCAGCAACCCCCGCGACCCTTGTGAGGATAAAGCGGATCAGAAAATGAATGGATGGATGGATGGATTCTCCAAGATTTGATGAATTAAAAAAAAAAAAATTTTTTTTCTTTTTTTACAAAGTCCATTTTCATTTCCTAATGTCGCTCTTCACAATGGTCTTTTTCATTATGTCGTTTTTTCCGTACAATGACTTGGTCTGTCAATCAAATCACATGAGGCGCAGCCAGTTAAGTGATTGGATGATCCTTTACATAGAAATGAGCACTTGCAGTATCGATTCAAGCGTATAGAGACTTGCCTTATCACTAATGCTGAGAAGCTTGTGGGCCAAGAGACAGATTGGCTGCAGGAGAGAATTCGGCTTCAGAGTGACTCAGGGAGGCTGCAAAGCGTTTGGATAGTAACGTAAGTTTACTTCGGGCTGAGAGAGGGCTGCAGCAGCAGGGTATTTTTGGCGTCTAGGATTGCACATAACAGTCCAGCATTGATACTACCAAATGGTTACGCTGGTGACCACACTCAGAGGTCCAATCCCACTAACTTTGATTGACAGACCAAGTTATTGTGCTGAAAAAGTAAAAAAAGGCCACTATGGAAAAGGACATTGTGAAATAAAAATTGACTTTATAAAAACATGTTAATTTTTTTTTTTTAATCTTTGGAAAGAAAGAAATTTACAACATTGTTACAATAAACATTATCCATCCATCTATTTTCGCATCCGCTTATCCTCACAAGGGTCGCGGGGCATGCTGGAGCCTATCCCAGCTGTCTTTGGGCAAAAGGCTGGGGACTCCCTGAACCGGTTGCCAGCCAATAACAGGGCACACATAGAAAAACAACCATTCGCGCTCACACTCACACCTAGGGACAATTTCGAGTACAGTATTCCATTAACCTGCCATGAAAGCTTTTAGAATGTGGTAGGAAACTGGAATACCTGGAAAAAACCCGAAGAAGCACGGCGAGAATATCCAAAACCCACACATGAAGGCCGGGGCCGGGATTGAACTCACAAATTCTGCACTGTGAGGCCGATGCGCTAGCCAGTCGACCACCAGGCCTCCTCAGAATAAATTATGAAATATTTACTTATTAATTTGATACCAAAGGTTAATAACACATTTACTACTACTACATTATTTTACAATTCAATGGCTATATTATATATTTGTATTTTATCAAAATGCTTTTTTTTCAAAATGTTGCTTTTATTGATTTAATTATGACAGACTTCCACTTACAGATCTATCCGCGCATTTAACCATGTGCTTCGGCATGCAAACCAATGTACACATTTGTAGGTTTATGTCACACTAATAAGACTCCAGTTACGTATTTGTAGATTTTCGTCGCACATTTGCGACTTCGGTGACGCATCTGTTGATTCTCGTCATCTGTGACTTGAGTCACCCATTTGTCAAATAATGTTACACATTTGTTAGTGTGGTTACAGATACTGATTTTTTTTTTACATATTTGTGGAGTGAAAGAATCATCTGGAAATGGTTTTGCTCCAATAACGGCCGCATAAAAATATCCTAATTAATGGTCAGTTCTGTGTGAATGAACTTTGCTGTCAGAGAGAATTAACCTTCTAGCATAATCTCACACACGCACGCACGCACGCACGCACGCACGCACGCACGCACGCACGCACACACACACACACACACACACACACACACACACACACACACAGATACACGCACAACTTAGAAATGGACACCGTTTCTCACCCTGATTGCATTCTGAGAAGAGTTTTTGTCATCCACGTTGACGGTGAGAGAGAAGAACACAGCAGTGCTGTACACGCCCTGCGTCCTATAAAGCAGTTCATTGAAATCTGGTCTTTGTGGGGCACCCTCTTTCTCCCAGCCAGCAGCACCAGGAGGAGCCCCAGCCTGATCCCACCCTCCGCAGCTGTCGATCACCTCCATCATGGGGTCGGAGCCCAGCTTGTCGATCTCCTGGATGTTGACACAAGATCTGTAAAACTCCTTGACTTTGCGCTCTGCGGAGTCAGGCTCACGCCTCTGAATGGGGTCCAGAAGGATGCGCTGCAGTTTTTCTTCATTGTGCTCTCCTATGGCCGTAATGATTCCATAGCTGAGCTTGTCCTCTGGGATGGCGTGACGCCTCAACCAACCTCCACACGCGAAGGAGTAAAAGTCCTGGCAGGGCTGGATAGTGGGGTCAATGTTGGCCTGCACAAAACGCGCTGCCCGTAACAGGACGCGTCTCCGCTGGCAGTCCTGCCTGCACTGCGGGTCTTGCTGGGCCTCCAGCGAAATGTATTTTAGAGCGAGCATGCTTCCCAAAATGACACACATGCCCGCTGCGAAGACCAAAGCCGAAAGGAGGCAAATCTCCCTCCGGCTCCATCGGGGGAGCCCGCCACCGCTGCTAGCGCTGCCTGCATCTCTGTTGCGACCATTTGACCAGGTGCCACCGCGCCCACGCGTCATGTGACGGTCCAGACTGCCACCCAAGTGAAGGGTCATACCATTACTGAGGATGTCACTGCTGTATCGGCCACCATATTTCACTTCCTGGAACTCATCATAGTGCGCGGTGAGTGAGTACGTCTTCTCCATGACAATTGGATGTTGTGAATTAGATGTCAATAGCAGACGGCTGCGGGGGGGAAGGGATTAAAGGGGATTTATTTTGTGTTCAGATTAAGACCATGACTCCGACTGAGATAAATAGAGAGAGGCCACACAGGGCAAAACACGGATGATGCGGACTTCGTAGGCGACGTTGCCTTTGTTCCTTTCAAATCGCGAGCCGGCAGAATGAGGACTTCCATTCTGCATGAGGAATCTCCTGGGTCTTGCTCTCTATCTCTCTCATCCTCTTTCTCCTGGCTCCCTTTCCATTTGTTCTCCTCCTCCCCAACCAGTTCCAGGTCACCTGCTGATGAAAATAAGAATGATTCAGGCGGGGGCTTTAAGGAGCAAGAGAAATATTGAACAGCCCGGAATTAAAACTTTTGGCACAGTTTTTATACATATTCTACCCAAATATTTTGTGTGGCAGCGAAACCTGTTGGGTTAATCGTTGTTTCTGAGGGAAGTTCTGATGATTCACCACTTTGGATGGAAAAACGAGAGATAAGAGCTCAGAAGTTGGGAGGATGGTTTTGCCACAGTAATTGTGTGCTTCAACATAAAATGCACTCAGAGAGAGGAAACAAAAGCATCAACCTTTGTCATCAGAGAAATCATTGGCTGAATGACTATTATCCACGTGTCCTAAAAGAAGGAAAGGTTTCATCCAGACCCATGTTGTAACCAAGGGAACAGTCATAGTACGCTGTCAGCACAACAAATTACCGTATTGGCCCGAATATAAGACGGTGGTTTTTGCATTGAAATAAGACTGAAAAAGTGGGGGTCGTCTTATATTCCGGGTCTAGACATTATACCAATTCATGACGCTAGATTGTGCCGGATATCATTGAAGCGAATGCTGAACTTGACTCCCCATGCCAAAGTGAACCCCTGTCACGAAGAATAAAAATAAAAATAGCGGTAGCACGAAGAAGAAAAACAAAAAATAGTGGTAAGAAAGAAAAGAGAAGAAAATAATAGAAGAGATAACAGAAAATGGAGAAACGTAGCGACAATCTGGAGAAAAGTGGGTCGAAGATCGGCCAGGTTAACCGGCAGCTGAGGAGAAGTTATGTACTAATTTACATTTCAAAAACCAGAAGCCATTCATTTACGAATGTGATTGCACTTTAGTTTACATATTTAAATGTTCAGATATTAAGATTTGAATGAGGCAACATAACATGCTTTTTCTCTCAAATATATTGTTCTAATCATTTGCTTCAGATGTACTGTAATTATTTTCTGTATAAAAATGAATTTGGTGTTCAAAAAGTCTTTTTTCAAACTTGAGTCTTGAAGAGGGTGTCGTCTTATAATCAGGGCCGTCTTATAATCGTGCCAATACGGTAAATCTCGTTTAGATTAAATGTTAAATCAGCTTTCCATATCTATGGTTGCAGTCGTAAAAACATCTTTATGAAGTCCGTTTAAAAATAAATAAATACAGTAAATAAATAAACAAAAAAAGAATGCTCAGTAATGTATTTGTGAAAGCCCACAGACCCACAAGGGAACGGTACATCCAAATAGTCCAGGGTTGTCTGCTCCAACTAATCCACTGCCCATACTGCCTGTAGGCGATATCACATCCCACAATGACAGCACCTGCCAGATAAGTCGTGCTTGTACCAGTGTGAGTGTCTACATCTGGATGGACGGGGTTATTGGTCAGCCAGAGTCAACCTGCTCAGAGCTATGAAGACCATCACTTACGCCTGGTCTTGCTGCGGTTGCCTCGTCTGAAGACTCAACACTGGCCTTTGACCCTTTAGGCTCCAAGGAGTCGTCGGTGGAGGCCGAAAGGCTTTCCTTGCCTTGTCATGGATGCACCTGCAGTACGGACATATGCACAAACTGTATTTGGCGCTTGCACAAACACCATCCATATTCTTCGAGTACCGCACTGTAATTGTATGTATACCAAAGTTATACAAAGTTACATCTTGCCTTGAGTGTAGCATCTACATAAAGAACGTTGCTGTCATTAGTGCCCTCAAGTTTCTGTCACTTCGTTATAAGGGATTCGGACCCTCCTCATAGTGTTAATCATGGGACAAAGTGCTGTGCGGTTCAAGGCAAATTGGGCATCCAAAAGGGCAGAAAATAGGAGTAAGAATTGTGGAAATTCAACCATGAAGTGTATCAGTGAGATGTCACCGTCCATCCAAATTTTCATCTATCAAACCTCCACTTTGGTACACGTGCTCAATCTGTGAGGAAAAAAATACATATCATGACATCAGTTTCATGTACTTAATGGATGAGCACATATTCCCTCTACCTCTACTTATTATAATGCACAAGTTATTGGATTACATGATTCCATGATTTCGATATATGCCTCCTCTCTTTGCAACTACTCTCCTCTGCTTTTGAAATGCATGTGCACTCCCTTGTGCCACAGCTCCTTAAACACTACAATAAATTATGGCGGTACACACACACACAAACACACACACACACACACGCACGCACACACACACACACACACACACACACACCAGAAAACTAGGGTATGGATAATGGATTGGATCTTGTGAGTTCCATCAGAGAATGCTTTGTGTGATGAATGGCTATTTACTGAACATGACAGCCTCTGATATCTGAGGGTAACTTATGCTGAAGCATAAGCGCACAGGCACACACACACACACACACACACACACACACACACACACACACACACACACACACACACACACACACACACACACACACGCATTGCAATTGCATGGACACTGGACACATACGTGGAAAGCATGTATCTCATGAGACATTTCACTTTGGCAGCTTTTCCGAGACACCTTTATTCTTTAAAAAAAAAGCTCTACAACACAACTTGTTTATATTGTACACCTTTGAAAATATTCTCTTCACATAGTTGGGAAATCATCACCTGGCGGGGGAACATATTTTTTTCCCATTGGTCCTCTTCCCCTACAGTTGTTGATCAGTCTTAAAAGGCTGGAAAATTTACATGTTCATTGTTTTTGTACACATAGTTGGGTTTCTGGCCACTGATCACTTGTCAGATTAAATAAACGAGCGTTTGTCTGCCTATTTCTGAGGATATGTCTGTGAGCAAGCTTTTCCGCATGTCGACAAATTGTGGCATGTCTGGAATTTACATAACTGCTACCAATGCTGAGTTTCTCCACCCAAGAAATGGCAGCGAGGCTGGCCCTAGTCCAGCGCCAGACTACACAAGAACTATCATGTCGAAAAACAAAAGATAAGCAGGGCTGCAGCGTTAGTAAAGATTTAGCATCAGCCGCCGTGTGTGGCCAGCATTGACTTCAGTTAAGTTGTCGACATGGGGGCGGGGAGGAGTTGCATTTAGCGATGCCAAGTGCGACACAGATCCTCTAATTGACGAGTTTATATCGGTGGCTTGTTGATGTTGGGGGAGAGTTGGCCTTTCTCTTCCTCCGCGTGTACGTTAATTTCGGATGATGACGATGCTGGTTATCCAAATACAGGCTGGAGAAGATGAACAGTACCTTCGAAGGTTTTTTTTCTTTTCTGCAGTTTACGAATCGATTAAGGCAAATGTCAAAGTGCCGGCCCGCGGGCCAAATCCGGCCCGCGAGAATGTTTTCAGTGGCCCCTGGGATGATATTGATTTATTATTAGAACCGGCCCGCGGACCGCAGCAAGCCGAGAGCCCGCAGATCTTTTACACGCACCAAAACTACATTTCCCACAATGCAACGGTGACGCGCCAAGCAGTCGGCCGCTTTATTTAAATATTTATTCGTCTAGCAGTCGTTCCCATAAGATAAGATAAGATAAGATAAGAAAACCTTTATTAGTCTCGCAATGGAGAAATTCCCAATTCACAGCAGCAAAGTTATGAAAGGAAGAAGTAGAACAACAAAATAACAGTGACATTAGCTTTCAGATGCCCATCAAAAATGGCAAAACGGAAGGTGGACACTGAGAACCGGGGGTTTCAAACAAGGTGAGAGTCGAAGAACATGTTCATGGACGTAGCTGGAAAACCTGTGTGTCTTCTGTGTGGAGAAAGTGTGGCGCGATTGAAATAGTGTAATCTGAGACGACATCATGAAACGAAACACGCAAACAAGAACATGGACATGGAGGGGGAAGGGGGATTTCATTAAAAACGGTATACTTAAAGTTTGTGACGAAGTTTACCCCGAAAAAAAGCAACTCTTTTTAAACGTGAGCATTAGCAGAAACACAATGGCAGTGTTTCTGCAAAGATACGGCAGTGCGTGCTGCGCAGTTTGACGGTTTCCTCCCCGACACAGAGGTCCCGCTGCGCATCCAGGCTGCTCAAACGTTGTCGAAAGTTTGGCAGCACATACGTGTGTGAACAACTATATTCTTTGATGAAGCTGAACAAAACATCACACAGAAGTCGATTTACTGCTGAACACCCTCACTCAATT